GGTTAAGTGACAGATTGTATCCAATCACAACAAAGCCTCCATGTCACAAATTACCATTTTCTGCCTTAGGCTCCACACCAACTACTGTTAAGCACATTTAGTATACATAATTTTAACCTTTTTCGAAAGCACGTTGTGTGCCTGTGCATATATTATGTATGGATTAATAATAAAATCAGAGTCGTGAGTTCTTAGTGTTTGCTCTTGAATGTGCTCTATTCCTGTTAAACAAGGTAGTCTTTTTGGGAGCAGTGTTTGGGATAGTTTGGGATAGTACCTCTGATGGCAGCATTTTTAGAGAAGAATAATCTGAGTGTTTTTTTCCTCCTGATGAAATACAGCCAGCTGCCCAGCCATATTGGGTCAAGTCTTCAAAACGCTCAAGGGCTTTGTACAGGGCACTGAGGACGTCTTCACAACCAACAGTGAAACATGAACCACAATGCCCCCTCCCAAAGCTTCACTTTTGTCCCTGGAAGAACATGGAAGTGCTTTTAAAACTGAGAACGGGAGGCATTTAATTACAGTGAGTGTGGCGTTCAGCATAAGAATGTCCATAATCTCTGTGGATAGTGAAATCGGGGATTTTCCCTTGTATATGCTTCCTAGTATAATGCCCCCCTCCCACTTTTGCCCCTGGAAGTACAGTTTTCCACTGATACTGCAGTGAATTCTTCTAGTGACTCACTTCTGCTGGGTTTCGTACAGAGAAGTAATTGGAAGCCAGTGACAAATGAGGGCCGGCTATTCGGCTCATCCAGTTCATTGGATTTTTAGCAGCTAATGGTTCTCATCCAGTCATTTCTTGATCACTGTCAAGGTATGGGCTTCAACACGGTGGTTGTGCAGTTTGTTCCAGAGGCCTCTGTGCTCTTCCCTTCTTCTGTCTTTTTTCTGAAGAAGTTCACTATGTTGACAGGTCAGTGTCTCCTTGTGTCTGGACTCCTAGTAATCTTCCCTGTTCAGGGCTTTAAAGGTTCGGTTCCTACAGCCTGTCAGTGTAGGGCATTTGTTTTAAACCTGGTTGCTCTTGTTTTTTTGTAAAGTGCTGATCAAAATTTTACACGCTATTCTAAATGAAGCATAGCTGAGCAATTCTGTGATTTACGCTCTGTATCGTACAGTACATCGTAAAATTCTGTTCGTATTTTTATTGCTTCTTCGCAGTGTTGAGAAATTGAGAAGATGAAAATGATGTTTCAACATTAACAGCTAAGTGTTTTTCATAAGTAGCTTTTTCAGCCTCAGTGTTTCCTGGGTTCTACAGTATTTCTAGTTTGTTATTGCTACATACAACACCCTACACTTGTTTTTGTTGAATGTCATCCACCAGGTGTTGACCACTTCCAGATCCGGTCTAAATCTTTTTATATTTCGCTGGCAGCTTCCACGGTGTTTTCTCATCCTCCTGTTGAGGTCTTCCCTGCTGTTACACATACTGTCTCACATGTGGGTTTGGAAACATCAATACCCTTATTAGTAATAGGTTGGGAAGATTAGTTAAGGCAAGCAGCAAGATCAGCAGGGCAAATCAAATCCACCTACAGTAAATAAACACAGGTTTGTAATGAAGGCTACAAGCATTACGGAGTGTGTGTCATACCCTGTCCATTGTGAATTTACACTACTCCTATCTGGGAGACACTTCTGTGTCTCTGGGAGTAACAGTAACATACTCAGGGAATCTTTCATCCCTGTTGCAATATTTCTCTCAAGTAATCTGAAGTAACTCTCTTGCCTGCTGATACACTGCTGTACTGTCTTCTTTGTTTATGATGTTTATCTTTCTTGATGTTCACTATCCCAGAATCGAGGTCATTGCTGTAAATCAGGAAGCACTAATCACCTCAGGAGCAGTGTTTTATCCTTCTGGTATAGAGCTCTCACCATGTTAGAGCTGGTAAAATGTGTCTGCTTGAATAAGCACTGCAATCTGAAGTTTATGTACATAGTTCCTGGTGTCTCTGCCTTGACTTGTTGGACTGTATCTGTGGACATTAATATAATTCTCATGGGGTGTACATAAGAATGAAATATTTTACAGTGTGGTGGAAAAGTAAGTACACATGAGCCAAACTATTAAAGAATGGCTGAAAGATCAGAAATCCAGGTTCTTGGAGTGGCCAAGTCAAAGTCCAGATCTAAACCCCATAGAGGTGCTATGGTGGGACCTAAAGAGACAGGCACATACTGTACAAGAAAGCCCCCAGTTTCACAGAGTTGCAGAGTTTCTGTAAGGAAGAGTTATTGCTGTGACAAGGTGTGCCACAACGTACTGAATCAAGGGGTGAATTTACTTTTTCACATAAAGATATTGAATTCTGGACGATTTTTTAAAGTAAATAATAATGACAAGGTAGGATTTCTGTGTTATTTGTTAAATGAGGTTAGTTTTTGCCTACTATTAGGACTTGGGGACCAGGTCAAATATGTCTAAACATGTTAAACTGCAAAACCTTTAGAGGGTGTACTGTACTTTTTCACCACACTGTACCTAATGGAACTAAGAGTTATTACATAAGAACATTACAAATGAGAGTGGACCACTCAGCCCATGTAGCTTACTGGGTAGCTAATAGCTACAGTAATTGAACAGTGGATCTCATCAATACTTTTTCTGGAAGTATTGACTTCAACCACATAGCTGGGCGGCTTGATCCAGACCCCCACAACCTTTTGTGTAAAGGGTTGTGTCTCTTGATTACGAAACACTAGCAGTTCCCCAGTCCGGATCTGTACTCACAGGTTTCCAGTTACAGGCCAACAGCTCGAACCACAAGCTCCTCCACTGTCTGACCTGAGCTACTGGCTCCTCTGGAGAGTTGAGAGGCCACAGATGTCGGGTTATTGGGGACCTGAGGTCACCATACAAAGAATTGCGGGGCCATGGCTGTTCTTGAAATGATTTTCTTGTAATATCTTGTTTTACGTTGGTATCCTGGTGACAAGGGCCATAAAGATTTTATAGCTACATATTAAGCGAATTCGAAATACTCTAAAAGCTCGTAAAACAGCTTGGGTTCAAGCCTAAAATATCACTGATGCATCACAAAGACAGGACTGGTACAGACAAGGTTCAGGGCCTCTTTTTATATGAGCTCACAAAGCTCAGATCACTTTTAATTATGGTACCAGTCATGCATTTGGTCTCTTCCCCTCATTTGTGATGTTTGAAAAGAGCAGAACACTAGAAATAATTCAGCCCTGGACAGTGGCATGTCATTACTGTGTTCCTTCTGCTTCTGCAAGAAGCAAACATGCCTCTGATAAAAGGACATTTCAGCTTCTGAGGTAAGCTTGAAATGTTGATTTACAGACAGGTTTTTTTTGTTGTCAGACTTTCCTGGTGTGTTATTTGTGCAGTTTAGTGGGTCCTGTGAAGATAGGCACATGTGATGTCAACTGAACTTATTTTCCAAGTCAAAGGTAATTTTTCACAGATGGGGAGGTAGCACAGTGCAGTTTGAGGAGGGATGCGTTCATTCTAAATGGAGCAAACTGTTCCTCAAGTAAGTCAGCACGGTGGTGCAGTGGTGGCCATTGTGCTGGGTTGCTATCTGCGTGGAGTCTGTATGTTCTCTTTGTGTTCGTGGGAAAACTGGCCCTGGCGTGAGTGCGTCTGTGTCTGTGTGCTCTGTGATGGACCGGCGTCCTGTCCAGGGTGTACCCTGTCTTGCACCCATTGCTTGCTGGGACAGGCTACTGGATACAGAGGCTTGAATATGGATGGATGCTCCTCAAGTAAGAACTAGTCTTCCTCATTGGTGCAAGACAGTCACATCGCAGAAAGAGTCTCACACAGGTGATTGCGGTGACTCTGTCGGCAGTCCAGACCTGCAGCTGCACACACATGTGTTTGAGGGGGATCTTCTCAGCCTCTTTAGCTGAAACAGAAGCACAGGAACTCAGAACTCACCTTTGCCCTACTGCATCTTTTTAAAACCGCAGCTTGCAATCAGGCTTGTGCATCTGGTCTGTCCATAGCTCTCTAAAAAATTAAACGCAGAAGGTCTCGGAGTAAATCTCTGAGCTGCTCCTAGGACACGGATTTCTTTGAAAGTCATGACGAGGGTGGGCATCCAGAGTTATTGCAGGATTTGAATAGGCCCCAATGTGTAACAGTGGACAGGTGTAGTCTTTGTAAAGCATATTGGTGTATCAGCAGTGTCTTGTATGAAGGAGAGGGTATGTGGCTTTTGTTTAAAAAAAAAATCTTAAAATATAACCAGGATGTAGCCTTTATTTTAGTAAAATTCTACGCACAAGCTGAATGGTGTCTACAGGGCTGGTTTTGTGCACTTATGAATGTGAATACAATATTTAATTAAATGCTTATTAGCAAGTGACCACATCGCCACCACGAGGAGAGCATTCCTCTGGTTCTTACACCAGTGGAAATCTGTCCCAGGCCAAGGCAGTCAGCACCTCTATTAAAGTTAATGAACGGTATTAGGTTTTCAGAGCCTTGCTGTTATAGGGGCCCCCAGATTTACTGTGCTTTCAACAAAATCTGCCAGGCTCATAAAAACGTGTCCCGGTGTGCACTGCATGGGATACAGTGTTTGATCTTGTCTGATAACATGTCTTTTTGGTAGCCAAAGAGACAAATGGATGGTGGGTTTTTTTTCTCCAATTGTTTCATCTCTTTCAACAGGTACTGCAGGTCGGGCTTTCAGTGAATGATATTACAACCCTGTCAGAAACTGCATTTTAGCTAGGTGCATGTGTAGTCTAACAGCTTCTGTGTTGACAGGTCCAGTGCATTGATTTGTTCTCTGTTCCTAGTTAATAAGGATATATATTCTAGCAGCAGTAATGATAGTAGCTGTCATTGATGTGCTAGACAAGGACAGAAACAGGCTGTAGATCAAGCTGAGCTTGTGCTGTAGCTGTCTGCACTGTTGGTGGAAGGTCTGTGCCACATGCTTTTGCCGGATGCGTGATTGCTTGTTAGAGCCCCCCTCTGCCCTGTGACTGGACGCGTGTGCTGTGTCTTTCAGATGAGGACGAGTGTCAGGACAACAATGGCGGATGCCAGCAGATCTGCGTGAACACCATGGGGAGCTACGAGTGCTTGTGCAAGGAGGGCTTCTTCCTGAGCGACAACCAGCACACCTGCATCCACCGCTCTGATGGTGAGTCACACCCCCCAGCGCCCCCAGGCCTGTTGGACACAAAGACAGGAGCTGAATCCAGGGGAAAGGGGGGGGGTTCATGAATATTCTCCACAAATAATGTTTATTAGTGACTCAAATAAAGTATTTTATGAATGAAAAAAACTGCATTTTGGCCAAGGTGTCCAAAGACAGTCCTGTCGTGAGATCTTGAAGCTGGCCATATGTGCTTTAGCATGTGTTTAAATGATGACATTCCTATGGAGCTGTGTTGAAATGATCCAAGGTACTCACATTATTCCCTCATGTGAGCACGTCTTGGCTCTGGTTGGAGTGAGAGCAGCCCCTGAGAGACTGTGAGCAGGTCCTGCTCTTTTATTCTCCTCAACTGCAATATTACAGTACGTGTTCTTGTCTTTTGTCCTGCACTTGGATTTGCAATTCCTTCTCAGGGCCTGAGGGCCCCGATCGACTCCGCTGTCCACATGCTCCTTTCAGTTTGAAGCCGAAAGGGCCGAAGTTCAGTCATTGACTCTCAGTTCTGAAGTAGGCCTGTCATGTCAAGTCACGAATGTCTCCCATTGAAGATCTTTCTTTCCCTTTAAATCAAATTAAATTGAATTGCACTTTATTGACGTTGACTGATGTTTTAAATTTCCAAGATGTCAGGCACAGTGAGGTTTAATCTTTCTGGCGCACCTTCTTCATATCACCGCAGAGGAAGATGAATTAGCCTTCAGGTTTCAGCAAGAAAATTAGTTTTACAGCAGTGAAACACAAATCCAGATATATTTATATATTTGTTGTTTGAACCCATAAACCTACAGTAATTTCTCTGTCACAGTGTGACTTCAGAAAGCACCCCTGAGTAATTATCTGGGATTCTTGACTTGTCAAGCTTTTGCTGTGGGAATAGTCACTGAATAGCCAGCAGGCTGCAGCTTCTAGCCTCAGCCCAGATTTCCAAGCCTTGAACCGGTTGCCTGTTTGTTTGTTGTTGCTGTAATTCCTGAAGAGCACTGAGCTCATGGGAACCTGTATTTACATTTCTCGTGTCTTCACACATTTCATCTAGGAGGAAGCTCGACTTTTATGCAGACAAATTTTTCAATCTAAAGGTTGCGTTATAGACATTCAAGTCATTTTCATGGCCGAGGTAGATTGTCTCCCTTGAGCCCAGAGGTTATGGATGAGATTAATATGGGATGTGCACTCTCCTTGGCAGCTTGGGCAGGTGTGGTCTCAGGAGACACCTGGTCACATGCGTGGCAAACCAGTGAAGGTATGCTATCCTTGATTCTCTCACTTTGCTTCCTCATCCTCACTCCTTTGGATCTCTGTCGTTCCCAGATGTTCTACCTCCATCTGTTTTGCTCAAGGCCCATAATCTCCCAGGTGATGATATTGTTTTTGCATTTCCTCATGTGTCCTTCTACCACATGTCAATACCTTCTCCTGGCTTCCTCTTGTGCAATTGCTCTGGATGAGCTGGGACAACAGAACTTTCTTTGGAGGCCTGGAGTCTGACATCAGGATGATGTGGCCTGCTTGACAGATCTGATTAGAGCCTCAAAGCCTTTGGCTCAAGCCTGGAAGAGAGCACTGATGTCGGTGCACAGTTCCTACAACTGAATGTGTAAAACCTTCTGCTAGCAACACTCTTAATATGACTTCAGGTCTTTAAAATATCTTCTGTATGTTGTCCGTGTTTAAAACCTGTACAGTAATGGATGTGACGATCCAGAAGAATCCTTCTCGTGAGCTTGCCAGTGGTGGACAGCTGAGAAATTGCCCTGTATTTTGCTCAGCGGGTTTTTTTCCTCTTTCTTGAAGATTTTCACAATCATGGCAGCCTCACACTCATTCAGGATTATGTCTTGACTGCTGAGCATGGTGTGTTGTTCCTGTTCACTGCACTTAAAACTTTTCCATCAGCTTCAGCTTTTTTATTGCTCTTCATTTGCATAAAGTTTATTCATTTTAATTTCCATCACCACCTTGAGTGTTGGGAGAGTTCCTGTCACGATCGCTACTCCTCCTCTTAAGGGCACTCCAGCCCTTCCTTGTTCTGCCCCATTACCTGCACCTGTTTCTTATTTCCATTCCACCTTAAAAGCCAGACGCAGACCTCACTCCTGGTTCCTCATTGAATTCCACTTCGTGAGAGCCCGGGGTCCTGCTGCGTCTGGCTCCGTTATGATTTTAACTTTCTGTTCCTGATTCCCCGGCCCGCCAGTCCCGACCCGGTTCATGATTTTATTCCCTGGATGGATCCCCTGGCCTTGGACTCTACCTTCTGTCTTGGATACCCGTTTGGATTTTCTCATGGATTGTTCGCCCCGGATTCACTCTCCCTGGACACCTGCACCCCTTGGACACGCCCCCTGTCTCCATACCCTTTCCTGCATGACTTTTTCCCCAGTGTTTCTTCACAATTCCGGATCGTGTCGTCTGCATAGGGCCCGGAAAGAACTGTTCTTGACAGTTCCAAGCTTATCTCTGATGGCGGGCTGTGTGGATAAAATTGTACATAATCTCATTGACAGTGGACCCTGGGTCAACTTCAAAATGCCCCTTCAAAGAGTTTTCTCCTCCCTTTCTCTTGGGTCTCAAAGGGACTGGTCTTTGAGAACAATGAACATAACAAGTCCTTGACCTAGTCATCATAAATAAGTCTGGGAAGCATTGAATTTCCTTTTCCTTTGATTTTCCACTATCTGTTCTTTGTGTCTTCCCTTTTGAACCTTCGTACATTAACTGACTGGTGGGACAGTTTCTAGTGCTTGTAGCTTGGGTCACACTGCTGAACACTGAAAGCCTTGTGCTTGTGATCAATAAATGTTTTTTATTTAAAATCCACCCTGGTGTTACCTGGTATAAAATTCAAATGTCTCCTTGCAAACATTGATTAATTTTTTGTCTCAATGACAAAATTTGCCAGGAGAAATATAACGGCCATCTTTGTGATTCTGGGCGACATGGTGAATGAGTTATGACTGAAGCCCAGTATTGGTTCATCCATTCATACTAATCTGGAACATTATCCTAAAAGGCATTTTATTAGTCAGTGACTCATGAAACAAGAGGACAGAAGTAGGAACTTCACACAAAGGGATGTGGGGGTATGGAACTGATTACCCTGCCACCTGGTCAATGATGAGACCACGATTTCTTTCAAGCTCAGCCTGAGTGGATTTATCTCATTTGAAACCTATCTTATGTTCTCGTGTTCGAGACTCTTAGACTGTCTTGGGCTGGAATTCGCAATGTTTCATAGAAAGCCTGCTCATGGTCGTTTGAATGCTGCGAGATGTCCCTTGTAAGTGCGGGTCTGTAGTAGAATTCAGTAGCTTGACGGGCCCTGACACATTGGCAGAGAGAGCAGAGAGACCTGATTTGTCCAGAGGCAGAAGGGTTAACGTGCAGCAGTGTGAACAGTGAGCAGGGCACAGAGCCCCACAGAGTGTCCACAGACACGCAGCCAGAGATCTCCCTCTCAATGCACACGGCTGTTTGGCAGTTATTTCCCTTCACTGAGTAAGTCTTTAAGACCAGAAATGATGATACAGTTTAGTGTTTCCAAGGGTCCTATTAAAGTGTGTGTGAATCATGAATGCTAAAACTCCTTGGAAAGTATAGATGCCCCAGTCTCTGTGTTTATTTGGTTTATTTGGCTCACCAGTAGAATATCTCCTGTAAAGCTTCAAAAAATAATCTTTATTTGGAAGCTCTTTTTACAGAAAATGAGTTATTTTCATGAAGCAGCGGGTGACTGTCTTGGATACATTTGTTTGTTTTCCACTGGACTGCCCATTTCTTTGGTTAGCTTTATAGACTGAAGGGTTTGTTTATATTCGCTGGGCTTCAGTGAGAGGTTTTCAGGTCTCAGGCACACTGCTGATACACAGAATACTCCTGGTTCTTACAAAGTCCAGAGATCGATCTTCTACAGATTATTTAGGTAAAACATGCTTTGCAGAGAAGCTCTGGGCGCACTGAGATAAATCTGTCACTCCCCTGGCATTGTGGGAAAGGATTTGTGCAAACTACTGAAGCCATCTCAACAAAGCCTTTGTCAAGTTCTTTGTGCTTTGTATTATATCAGGACGTCCTCAGCAGTTGTACATTATCACTTGTGTGCTTTATCTCCAGAAATTGCACTTTGGTGTTTGGCGGAAAATATTGCTTAGCTGATTCTTGGGCTGAACTGTTTTATTTGTTTTCTGAACACAGCCTTACAACGCAAATACTTGGAAGTTAGAACCAACCAGGAGTTTAAATTCAAGGGATTATTCTTATATTACACAGCAATTACAAGGCAAAACAGAATGGACCCTGCTTCTTCAGGAAAGACAAATCTCCTGAAACATGTTAGGACACCTGTGGACCTATGAGACTAATGGCAGGGGTTAAATTGCTGCTGCAGTTCACTAAACGTTCGGGCGTGTTGCTAAATTAGAGTCTTTTTTAGTTTTATTTGATTTACAAATGCACTACGTTAACATGCCTCTGTTTAATCCAATAAACAGTTTTTCTGCAACATTCTAATGTTTGAAATATCCCAGTGAGTGATGAGTACTTTCTTTGCAAGCACGGAGTGAATCAATAACCCCTAATGAGCAGCTGTGATATTGCTTTATTCCTTAAAAAGGAAACAGCATCAGGAAAGCTACATCCTGCTCTTTCCTGTCTAGGTGATAGAAAACCTCATTAAGTGCATTCTTGAACTGTTTTTTGTTTGTACTGTGGTTAATTTTCCTTAGACATCTGTTACAGGTCACTCAGACATACAGGCAGGTGTGTATATGTCAAGACCCTTTCTGTTTCACAGCCTCAACAAGGTGACTGTGTCTCTTTTTGACGTTCACCTGTCTGTAGGTGATAGGTGATTGGGACATAAGCCTTTTCCAGATGCACTACCTGGGTGCTGTGGGAGCACTGACACGTTGCTCAAAGAACAGCAACACACAGAGGACGATAAGAATAATGTACAGTCAATGGGTTCTGTGCTGTGGACATTC